AAAGGTATCAAAACCGAATGAAATTAACAATGATAAGTATCTTGTTTGTCGAAGTAAGATATTTGAGTAGTCTAAGCTCCCTGAAAGGCGATGAGAACCTAACCAACATCAAAAAAAGAAGAAGAAAGAATGAGAAGGAAGAAAAAATGACCATCACTCTCGCCTATATGATCTATCTCTTTATTTTTTAAGCTTGAAAACTTACAAGCATTAGCAATAGTGAACTAATAATAAATAATGGTTAGTCACAGCCATTTGTTTTTCATCTCCTAACACAATTAGTTCTTACGGATATTATAAAATTGAAGACATAAATAATTTATTAATTTTATGTTATATATTTTTTTAAAAAACTTCAAACAATAAACTTTTAATGAGGAGAAACTTATCCATCAATCCACACGAGAGATGATGATGAGAACTCTTCAAATGGCAGGCACTCATTCACCGACAAAACGGCAAACATATCCTTCTCCTTGTTCCAAAATAAATATAATAAATAAAATTCTTATGTTAGAAAGAATATATGAATACACGTTAACAAGCTAATTCAACTACGAACAAAACATATAACATTTCCTTAATATATTTTGTGTACGCAAAAGTATTCAATTTTAATAGAATTTTGACATGTCTGTAGTCCTAAAATTTTATTTTTTTTTTAAAGTATATTCAACAAAATAATTAAATTAAACTATTTTTGCTTTTTTAAATATATTTTTAATTTTAAGCAAAATAAAGTGAACTTAAGTGGTAAGTGAAGTGCACTAATTGGAGTAAGTTCAAAAAGAGATTTATTATTTAGAAGTAGATGAAAGTTAATAACAATGTGTATTCCAAATAGCTTGATTAAACCATATTTGTTTAAGCAAGTGCAACAGTTGCAAATGTGAGTAGGGTGCAAACAAGCTAAAGTAAAAAGAAGATGGGATCCTAATGGGCTTAATTCATCAATTGTCAAGTTGAACATTGATGCGTTCTCAAAATCGGACATGGATCTTAATATATGTATATTTGAATTGAAGATTTTTAGAATTTATTCAGGATTATCGAAGCTCCAAATTCAACTAGTTTTTCGCCGAACTGAACATCTCGACAAAAGGAACCCATCGGCATAACAAATGATCTAATTCAACTCCAAATGAGCCCAAATCAAGCATTTAAAGTGTAATTAAAAATTTTAAAGCATTAATTGGATGATCAAACGATCTCCTTACGCATAGCATGCTAATATTCAAATCAAGCATTACAAATAGACAAATCCAACGAACCCAAAATCTTCTAACTATGATGCCATTAATGCACTCAAATGCTTGATAAGCGATAGATGATTAAGGTTTGGTTTGGGGCGGCTTTCTTACTGTTTCTTAAAGCAAATTTTTAGTACACAAATTAAATCCAACGAACCCAAAATCTTCTAACTATGATGCCATTAATGCACTCAAATGCTTGATAAGCGATAGATGATTAAGGCTTGGTTTGGGGCGGCTTTCTTATTGCTTCTTAAAGCAGTTTTTAGTACAAAAAAGTAAAATTTTGTACTAGAAATTTACTTTAAGATGCAGTAGGAAAGCCGTCCCAAACAAAGCCCAAGAAAATTATAGCTGTTTGATGGAGAATTTTTTATTCGATCAATTCAAATTTACCAACATACCCTTTCAAAAAAGCTATAATAGGTTTTCATTTATCTACATGTGAGAGGATGAGGAGTTTACATACAGACATAATTAATTCTTTGACTCATTTAATTTACTTTTAAGTTATCTTTGAGTACTATATCACACACAAAAGAAGAAAAAGTCACAAAATTTAGCAGAGATTTAATTGAAGAAGTACAGATATCCCAAGCAATGTGGTCCATATACCGTTAGAGATTAGCAATCCCTTAAAGGAAAGCTAACTCCCACCTACATTACGCTCTTTCTTATAATTAGTGCACATTGCCATGACATGTGAAGCATGCAAATCGAATGCAAGAATTTTAAATTAATTTTATTTTAATTCAATGCGCCAATCTTAAAGCTCTCAATGCCATGAATATAATGGAGTTGATGAATTAAAAAAATTGATGGTTACATCATTAGAAACAAAACTTGAGTAAGTTGTGATAGTTAGGTGCAAGCTTCATATTGCTTTGTTCAACTTCTCAAGTGTGCAAGCCAACACCAACACATCTAACTACTCTTAAATTAAGGCTTCATTTGAGACGACTTGCTTACTGTTTTCTAAAGCAGCTTTTTAGTTAAAAAAAAGTTTGTACTAAAAAGCTGCTTTATAAAGCAGGAAGAAAGTCGTTCCAAATGAAATATAAATGCGTGTATGAATAGAGATAAATTAGAGAAGACATTATAATAAAATTTAGAGTTAGATCTATACACCTCTTAGTGAGAAGATTTTTAGGAATGTCTCAATGGAGCAATCATGAGATATTAATGGGCCCTTACATGCCCCTGTTATATTTACATGTGCTTAAGCATAAAGGAGTGTACCAATGAACTGGATTGGGCCAATTAGTCATGATTCAATCCAAGAAAAGAAAAAAAAAAAAGATCAAATATAATCAATATGATCATTAGATCTTTCTCATAAAACAACATTTTTTTTTAATTATAAATTTGTTGAAATTGATACTCATATAACTTCCAAAATAATCTATGAAGTTTTTAGTTCATATATAAGGATATTTTTTACCCAAAAAGTAATGCCTCTGTTTTAAAATGTCGATGATCATAAGTCAAATAATATGCTTATTCAGATTTGAAAATTATTTCTACCGATAAAATTATGCACCTATTTTAAAATGGTGATACTTACAAGTTTAAAAAAACATTAGGTTGTAAATGATTTGCGAGCTAAACTTGGGATGATGATGAACCAAGGCTTTCAATTGTTGTACTAAAGTGTTATGGATGTTGTAATAACTTTTGAAGTATTATGGATGAGCAATGTAAGATTGTGGTTAAGAGAGGTGTTCAACTAAGCCTTTAACGAGGTCAAGCTTACAGGGAGTTCCTATTTGTTGATTTAAAATTTAAGGTTGTAATATCGAAGGAGATCTAGTGCATGGACTCACACAAAAAGTATGAGTTATGCATGCATGTGCATTATGGAGTAGATGGGTAGGTTCCTTGAGGTTTAAAGGCTTTTTGGTGGAGTAGCTACAATACTAGGCCTAGAGAAACTTACTTGGTCGAGAAAACCTTGTACTCCAGAATCTTACTTAGCAGTTATAAAATGGTGTTCCGTGTTTGTTGGGATATATAAGATGATGTGATGTGAGTTGATGATATGTTGGATGAGAGATTAACAAGTGGAAGAAAGATAACTAGCAATCCTACTAAGAAGAAGTCAAAGAGGTTGGCCACTAAACTTCAACCCAAGAGGAAAACTTCTTAAATTTGTTTCCCTCAAAGTACCCGAGTTGAATTGGATCCCTTTAATAAATATTTATGGGTTACAATATTCTTAAGGGTTCAAAATAAAACAAGATAAAAACTCAAAGGAGTGAAATATATATGATTGATCAACAAAAGAGGAAAGGGAGCTAACACGACTCCAATCAACCTCTTATAAAAAATTGAATGAGATTTTCAAGCCATGGCTTGTCAAAGGACTTTCCTAATCAATCTAAAGTTATTTCGAATAAAGGAAAAATATTTGGAAGCCTTCAATATGAATATTATAAATTAACGGTTTAAATTCAATGTTTTGGAACTAAAATTTGAATTGAGATATTTTTTAAAATTAAAATTTTCATTATTTTGAACTAGCGCCTAGATGCTTATCACGTCAAAGCTTCCCGTCACCTATACGTTTGCCCAAACCTATTTATTTTGCCCAAAAAATAGAGAGCTAAACACCGGGCCGCCGTAATAAAATTTGAATGATTATAACCTCATTCCAACAAATGTTAGTATCGATTGATTTTAATTAATTCACAATCAAAGGAAGGTTTATTTTGACCCTGGAAATTTTTAGATATAAAATACGTCATATTTTTCTTTTTAAATTTCCTCTCATGAGGCATACGAAGTAAAATTTCCAAATTATTAAAGAGACATAGAAAGCTAAGGGGCTGTTTGGCAACAAGTGGGATTTAATAAATCTTGTAAATCCGGATTTAGTAAATCCGAAATGTGTTAAATCCTAAAAACTGTTTGGTATGTTAAATGTTAAATCTTGTTAAATCCTGAGAAACTATTTTGCAAAAATTACTAGATAAATTACATATTTAATATATTTTTGAATATAAACGGGTCCGCGGGTCGGGTCGGGTTAACCCGGTAACCCGTGCGGGTCGGGTCTGGGTTAAAATATGTGACCCGTTTGCAAAAACGGGTCGGGTTCGGGTTGATCCGTTTAGACTCGGGTCAACTCGAGTTCGACCCGAACCCGACCCGCGGACCCGATTTGACACCCATAATTAAGATCATTGCATAAAACATGATAAAACTAATTTTAGGTCATATAAAATGGCCGAAAATTCAATACAAAGTTAATTACAAACTAACAAGGACCAAAATGAGAGTTTAAATATTAAATAAGCTAATTATATTAATATTTAATTACTAATTATATCATTAATTAATCAATTAAGTTAAATTAGATAATTACTTTATGCACTAATTCTACTATTAATTATTTAATTCAATAACCTAATTATTATTTGTTTACATTATATAAATTAAGTTAATGGAAAATAACTTTGAGGCGTCTAGGGTTTGTATTTCATCTTTTCTTTTCGTCGTTGCTGTTCGGCTTCGTTGATTCGCAGGAGGTGTACAGATTGCGCGCGTCGCTACTTCGGTTCCTTCGTGGCTGTTCGACTTCGCTCCTTCGACGACTTTCCCTTCTTGTCGGATCGGAAGTTACGACATTTTGATCGGAAAGAACAGGAGCTCGCTGGCTGTGAAGTTAACTTTCTCCCTTTCGCGCGCTTCTAATGTTAAATCCCGTTAAATCCACCGAACCGAGATTTAGTAATTCCGGGATTTAAGCCGTAAATCCGGGATTTACGGAATCCCGGGATTTAACGCGCGCACAAAAACCGTTTGGCTGGATTTAGCGTAAATCCGACTTAAATCCCACGATAAATCCGATACCAAACAGCCCCTAAAAGGGGCTTAACCCAAACCCGGTGAGCCGCTCGGGATGACGCTACTTGTGAGCCCCTGCCGCCAGTTCACTCCTTTTCCTTTGCCTTCCCATCATGCCCTGAAGCTTGAACCAGTTTCTCTCCGAAAGCCGCTAAAGGTTTTTGATATCATTTTCTCTCATTTTTCTCGTTTTACCTTTCTTCTTTCCTTCTAAATTTTATCCCACTTTCTCCATTCCTTGCTGCTTGATTTTGAATTTTATCTTGGTAAAATTTGGATTTTCAATTCAGTTTTCTTAGTTCGTTTCATGTAGGTTACATGTTTGTTAGGTTGATGCTGTATTGTTTTTTGAGTTTAATGGAGGATTCTGGGAGTGGTGGAAAATTGCTAATTTACTCCCTGATGATTTGATTCTTAGATGCAGTAGTATCAAGCTTGAAACTTTTTTAGTTTGCTTGCATTCACGCCCTGGGTAGAATATATTTGTTGCGAATGGTGGACTTTTGGCCCTCAACTTAATCCAAGCCATTTCCATTGTTGCTTTTTGCTGAATAATGCTCGATTTTTTTATAACAAGTTGATTATATTGACAGATGGTGATGCTACTAAGTTGAAGATACTAAAAATTGGTGGACTCTATAGGGGAAATGTAGGAGAGACTATTCATATTTATATGTGATAGTTACTTCAAACCTAAGAAGCGTGGATACTTTTTAGGGTTCAAATCCTTATTATATATAGGTCGTATATATATCCTCGAAGAAACACCACCGATTCATATCAGTCATCCCGTATGGCATATTCAAAATTATATTATAGTTAAAACACTAGGACACACGACTGATTCTAATAATTGTATGACTAAATCATGCTTAATACAGTAATGTAAGAAACACCACATAGGGTTTCACTCTTTATCATAGGAAGAGAGAGAAAGAGGTAGGGGGTAGGAGGTTGAATTGGAAGGAGGCTTTTTTGTACACTTTCTCATTCTAATCTTATCAAATATGTTGTTGGTGCATCTTTTATGCTTCATTGTATTTGAATAAACTATCTAAGTCTATTTTGTACCACATTCTCTTCAATAGGTGCTACTCTTATTTTCTATTAACTATATCATTGTTTATGCCACACTTAATTTGGAACAATTATTAGGTCCTCCGACCGGACGTAGAGCGTCCGGTCGACATTAAAATCCCGCAAAAAAAACGAGAAATACCGAGCAATACCAAACAATAACGAGGAATACCATCATGTGAAGACCCAATAGTGAGCTATACCGAGCAATACCGAGTTATACAAAAAGAAAAAAACTCGGTATTTTTTTGTATAACTCGGTAAGCAAATACCGAGCAATACCAAACAATAATGAGGAATACCATCATGTGAAGACCCAATAGTGAGCTATACCGAGCAATACCGAGTTATACAAAAAAAAATACCGAGTTTTTTCCTAAAAAACTCGGTATTTTTTTTTGTATAACTCGGTATTGCTCGGTAGACCTCGTTATAACTCGATATTGGTCTTCACAGAGCGGTATTCCTCATTATTACCAAATCATACCTAGCAAAATCGAGCAAAAACTGAGTTTTTTGGCGGGATTTTAGTGCCGACCGGACGTTCCTCTACGTCCGGTCGGAGGACGTAATAATTGTTCCTTAATTTGATTGTAAGTGACTTAACTTGGTAAGAAGGGAATTATTTATTCTTTAGTACTTAGATCTATATACCATAACGGATCTAATTGCAGTAATGTAAATTTGCATTTAAATTTGGATGAAATTCTACTATAGCATTGTAAATGAGGCATTTCTCCAATTTACCATTCCATCTTTAACTCTATCAATTATGGTTTCATTGATATTCCCATTCTTTTGTATAATGTCCGATGAAATTTAAATTGATTAGATCTTGTTATCATTTTGGTTAAGAACAATATTAACTGCTTCTTGTTAATTTTACATATGCCAAAGTTGGAAATCATAAACTTAATCTTGGTCTTGCTACTTCAAAACCCCTTATTTGTTAAAAGCTTTTCCATTTTCCTATCTTTGCATTCAATTTATAGGTTGCGTAATTTATCTATAGCATATCATATGCAAATAATGTGTGCGAAGACTCTTGATTTTGAATATTATCTTTATAATCAATTTAAAGAGATAAAAAATTAATATTGATTCATAATGCAATTCTATCATTATTGAAAACTATTTAGTAACTCCAGAAAAATTGTTACAGTAGGTGTTGATCTTTCAAGCATAAAAGTTTCACAAACCTTTATACTTATTTTCTCTCTTCAATGTCCATCGAATCAATTCTTGTGCAATTCACTCATATGGTTTGTAGATCAATAAATAAACAAATAATTATTCATTGATTTTTCCTTATACATTTGAATAAATTATCATATCAAGTCTTTTCTCCATAGAAGATATTCTTGGAACAATATTTTGATTCTCAAAATCAGCATGTTTTATGTCCTAGCACCATCTCCTATAACTTTATTTTATGGCCTATAAGTTTGATTCTACCATGCCTATCATAATTTGGTATATCTCTTATTTTTTTCTTAAACATATTTACTAAAGTGAATGTTCTTTAATCATCTGACATATTTTTAACGTTTAAGATTATAAAAAAGATATTTGTTAACCAAGCTACTTTAACCATATATAGCTTGCCAAGTCGCACTAGGTATCTCATACAATACCATATCTTTATTTTATACATTTTATTTTTAACTAACTTACACTTCACTTTTTTATATTGCCAGTGTCTCATTTTTTTTCTTAAAAAGAAATTTCTTTTAAACTATCATTTTATAATTCCTAAAAGTAGCACTTCCATTTTTTTGTTAGTCTTCATATTGAACTAATATCCTATCATCTTCATTCTCAATACATCTACCTTGGATACTTGATCAAAGATTTTAGAACTTCTCTCCCTTCATTAGTTGTTTTATCTCCATTTCTTCTTCCTTTGCACCTAGATTACTATATAAGTCATCAAGTGCAATACTTCTGTTTTTTCCTACTATCTTTTTGTTGTTGAAATCCCAAAAGAAAATTTTCGTCATTCTTTAAAGGCACATTTGTTTTACTTCAATGGTCTTTTGTATATCTGTGTGAGATCACCAAGACTCATCAGTTATATATCTATTTCCGAACTAACCTAAAACTTTGATGATTATTTTCCTAATCCAATTAGCTATACTATCCCATTCAATTTTGGTTAAACTATAAACTTCCAATTTGTTGTTCTTAACGATTTGTTTTTGAATATTAATGACTTCTCATCTTCCAAGTTCCACTAATTTATTGTAGGATAATTATTTCTACTGATTACTTTTTTGTACTTCATAGAGAGAGAAAGACATACATGCGTGCGCATACACATACACACACACATATATATTTAAATATAATTGTATCATCAAATTTATTTAAAATCCTTTTAAAATTTTTGCAAAAAAAAAAAAAATCTTTTCTTCCATATAAAGGATATGGATTTTCTTAGCTACGCTTTTGAAATGATGCCCTTCTCTCTCTCTGTCTCTCTCTCTCTCTCTATCTTAATTGTTTGTATCAATATTTCAACATTATCTTATTGATGCTTCACAGCCCGAAACAAGACCTTCACCATTATTTGTGGTAACATTGTTAGAGGTTTCCATTTTGATTTATTTAATAGATTTCTTGGAGGGGAAGTTTGGATATAGTCCGAATTGTGTTTTATGGCTATTATAAATGAGGGATACCGCAATCCTCATTGCGCCACAATTCAGATCTACTTTTTATTTACAACTTTATTTGGTGTGATACTTTTTATAACTATTTTTTTTCTCGGACTTTCTAACAGAGAAGGAAATCTCATGGTTCTGAAAAGTCATCCAGAGTTCTGGGCTACTATGGTCTTACAGCCCCTCCCTATAAACTAGTAAGAAATTTTATTCACTCTTAATTTATATAATTGTTAGTGTACAATTCTTCGGAGCCAAGTTTGCCCATGACACTTCTCCATTTCTATTAGAAAATTGTGCAGTTGTATTTGGTATTTGTCTTGTGAATGCATGTAATCTTTTCAGCTCAGCTTGTTTAGGTTGTTTGAATTTCTAGGATGCTTTGGAACCATACATGAGCAAGAGGACATTGGAACTGCATTGGGGAGGATATCATCATGATTATGTTGAGAGTTTGAATAAGCAGCTCAAGAACAGTTCATTATACGGCTACACCTTGGAGGAACTTATCAAAACAACCTATAACAACGGGAACCCATTACCAGAGTTCAATAATGCTGCAGAGGTAATATAATCTTCTAACTGTTGCATTGTTTAATTGAAAACTATGCATACAAATGAGTTGCTTAGATCAACCCTTGAACAAATCAAGATAACATTTGAATTTTTTCATGTATAATGTGAACATAGAATCAGGGAACTTGTGGGCTTTGAAAAGCTTACCCACATCGATTATGAGAACCAAAGATTGTTTTTTAGGAGGCCATTTAACCATTAAATAAACACTTCCCAAAGATTTTTCCTCTCTGTGATTTTATATTCTTGATTCAAGGGTTGGCGACTTGGAGCACGCTAGAAATGCTTATTTTTGGTTTTTAATATAATTTTTAATTTACATATTTAGCTCCTCGGATGACATTTATCTTTTAAGGTTTTTTCCAAAATAAGTTTTGATTCACATGATTTACCATGATGTTTGCAGTTTGTGTGAATATGTAGGTTTGGAATCACGACTTTTTTTGGGAATCAATGCAACCAGATAGTGATAAATTGCCTTGGGGAGGCTTGCTTCAGCAGATTGAAAAGGATTTTGGCTCGTTTTCCAATTTTAAGGATGAATTTATGCAATCAGCAATGGGATTGTTTGGTTCTGGTTGGGTCTGGCTAGTCTGTGAGTAGTATTTGCTGATTTCCTTTGTGAATCTTTTTTGCGTCTGACATTTTTATGCTTGTAATTTATAATTTCTCATCTTGGTACTAATCGTTAGAAGTACCTATTGTCCCTAGAATGCGCTCATTGTTGTATTATTTTTCGTTGTTAATTTTAATTAAATTTACATCCAAGTGAACTTTTTTTATTGCTATATGTTATTACATAATATTAAAGCTGGGCTTGGTCAAGCGAGAATACTTGGACATGCTAGAGAGTAATGTGCATATGGATAGTGAACAAGGGATAGATCCTGTTGAGAAAATAGCATATTTACCTCTTAGAATCAAGAGTTATAGAGTTGTTATGTTGTTCGGGGTTTAGTCAAACGCGTATATGCTTGAAGAATAGCTTTATATATGTTTGGTTAAGTTGACATTACTTCAGTAAAGAACTAAAGATTCATTTATTTTTGTTTATTTAGCTAATTGAAGAAATTTAAACATTATTTATGAGGCTAAATATATTTAGCTGTTTTATTTGAAAGAAAATATATGTAGCTCTTATGTGACAAAATCTCCATGGCATTAGAAGTTTGATCAATTGTCTTAGTTTTGAATAAAAACTCAACACACAAGAAGTGTTACAATGCACAAGAGACGAGATCTGTTTTAGAAATTGAGAATGTAAAAAATCACAAGCCTCATCTTGTCCAATTGAAACAATTCCACTAGTTTTAGTCTAGAATTACAAAGGGCCAAGTGTCTCCATGTTTATTCATTAGGATAGAGTTATTGGAGATGTGTGGCGTGGTCGTTCTCTTGAAAACTATTGCAATGATGGAAGGATGATCGATTATATTAGTTTTGAATAAAATTATGCACAAAATCATAGTAGTTGCAACACTCAAGAGACTATTTTTTTATTTAGAAACTTAGGAAGGGAAAAATCTTGGGACCTTGTTCATTTTGAAGTTCCATTAGTTATAGTGGATAATTATAATGGTCCACTCTATCCTACAAATGGAGAAGTTGTGAATATAAGATAAAAGACTTTTACTTTCAGTAAGTCTTCTATGGTGTGCGTAGGAGTTTGAGGATATCCAAGTTGATGATAGATGTTGGATAATAATTGACGTCGGTCAATGTCAGGTGTTCGCCAATACATGAAAAGTTGAGTGAAAATGGTCATCAATAACTTGATGTTAGGCAACTAGAGGTAGTCAACAAGTTTGTTTTCTTGGAAGAAGGGTAGATGTTAGACCGGTCCAGTCGGCCCAACACCAGGATCAAAACCAGACACTAGTGTATTCTAGATGGACCAAGCAAGCCGTCGTCCCCCTTATGGGGCCCATGATTTGAATTCAAATTTAAAACGGAGGGGCGGTTTAGGAGGGAATTAATTTTTGGAGGGGCTGTTTATTAATTATCATTATAATGTATTCTCTAAATAGGGGGGAACGGGTGGGGGTTAGGGTTATGTTTTATGTTGGCTGAATTTTGTTTTCTCTTAAGTTGTTTGGGCTCTACCCGCCGGCTAGAGATTGGAGAGTCAAATCTTCCTCTCGAATTGAAGATCCATTGTATCTTGTTTGTTTTCTTCCATCATTAAGCAATTATCAAGTTTCCCTAGTATTTTGCCATCAAATTTCTCTCAATTTCTGCTTTTATATTGTTGAAGTCCTAAATTTCAGACAAGATCTTTTGATTATTGCATGTATTTCCTATCAAATTGGTATCGGAGCGCTTTCTTGGGTGGAAAAACAAGTTACCTTCATTGTTTTTGCGATTGAAGCCTATAGCCAATTAATGATAGCAGAAGATGGAGGCATTGGAGGGCGAGATGGAACAACTCAAGGCCGAAGTAGAGGAAAAATATTCTGGGGTGTAGGAAAGATCTCAGCCATCGAGAACCGTTTTGGGAACTTTGAAGATATGATGAAAAAGATGCTTGAGATGCAATTAAAAACATCACCGACAATTCCTAGGGCGGAACCACGAGGAAAGGAGATCTAGGAGGACTACGATGAAGTAGAGTATTTTCCATCAAGGACCGCCACATGGGTTCCCGTTGGTGGGCGGATCGGGGTATTCCAAAGGGAGGATAGTAAGAAGGAAAGCCAACCCTAGGGGTGTCAATATTGGACCCGACCCAAAAATTTCGGGTTTGGGTTGACCTGAACCCGAAACGGGTCGGGTTCGGGTACAACAATTCGACCCGTTTCAAAAATCGGGTCGGGTTCGGGTTGACCCTTGACCCGAAATGGCCCTTTTTTTGACCTGAAAATCCGTTTTTCACCCGACAACCCAAGATTGACCCGAAAAGCTTAGTTTGACCCATTTTGGACCCGAAAACTAGTAGTTTTTTGTCCGACTTGGGTCATTTGGGTCGGGTTCGGGTTGACTCGAATAGTGCTAGGTCAGTTTTAGGTTCGACCCGAACCCGATCCATAACTCGAAATTGACACTCCTAGCCAACCCCTTTGGGAGACTATTCGGGCATGGGGAGAGGTGGAATGCAGAAGGGCATGGTTGGGGGTAGCCATGGTGTCAAACTCAACCAAGGGAGGAAGTAAGGAAACCATTACACCAGAGGAACCAACGGGGGAAGAAATCATTGGGGTATGGATGCGAGAGCAAGGAAGTTAAAGATGTCTGTCTTTAAAGGGGAGGATTCTCAGGATTGGGTGTATCGTGTGGAATGCTGCTTTAGTATCAGCGGGCTGACTGAAGGGGAAAAACTCATGGCGGCAAGTTTATGTTAGATGGGAAAGCCCTAGCCTGGTTCTTATGGAAGGAGGCTAGGTATCCGATCTACTCATGGGGAGAATTTAAATAGTGCTTGTTGGAACATATTCGAGCCATTCAAGAAGGAGATCTCCACGAGCAGTTCTATGTCCTAACTCAGGAGGGGACATTTATGAAGTACTAGGAGAAGTTTGAGCTGCTGTTGGGGAATCTCGAAGAAAAGATTGGAGGGAAATTTTATGAAGGGGCTTAGGGAGGACATATGAGAAAAATTCAGGATAAAGCCTAAAGGGTTGAGGGAGACGATAGAGCTTGCTCAGAGAGTGGAGGAAAAATATAAGAGGGAGAAGTCCAGTAGAAGCAATACCATGGGAGGGGCCTATCGGAGTACCCTTACAACTCTAGCAACCAGAACTAAAGGCAATATCCTTTCAGAGAGAAGCTCCTAGGGAGAAGAGCGGGGGAGTTAGGAGAAGAGCGGGGGAGTTTGCCCAAGGGGCAACTTCAAACGACTCACAGAAGCGGAGGTGCATGATAAAAAAGACAAAATGGTTATGTTTCAGATGTGATGAGAAGTACAAGCCAGGGCATAGGTGCAAGGACCGAACTCTTCTGGTTCTCACTGTTGTGATTACGAGGAAGCTTAGGAGTGAGGTAGGAGTGAGGCATCGACGGAGGAGGAAAAGTTGCATTTAGATATGGCTAAGGTTTCTTTGAACTCAATGGTGGGATTTACTCAAATCACACTATGAATGTGAGAGGAGAAATAACAGACAAGAAGGTGTGGTGCTAATATATAGTGGGGCTACCCACAATTTCATTTTCAACTAGGTCGTAGATCTATTGGGGATGAAACTGGTGGGCATAGGGCGTTATGGGGTGATTATGGGGACTAAGAAGATGGAGGCATGTAGAGGGGTGTGCAAAGGAGTGGTCTTGACCATACATTGGATTCAGGTGAGGGAAGATTTTCTCCCAATTGGAGCTGGGAGCACTGATGTCATCTTGGGGATGAGATGACTGCAAATCTTGGAGGATACCATGGTGAATTGGACTCACCAAAGCTATGGTGTCTCTAAAAATCATGGTAAGGGCTATGCAGGAGGTGGGAGGAGGATTTATGGTGGAGTTGCAGAGTTTGGAGGGGATCAGAGGGGAGGAAGGGGGGACATCCCTCTTTCAGTTCAATCGATTATATAATAGTTTAGTGAGATTTTTCAGTCACCTCAGGGGTTGCCACCACAGAGGGGCCTGGAGTACGCCATCACGTTGAAGGAGGGAGTATAATCGATCAGTGTCAGGCCTTACTGCTACCCCCAGATTTAGAAGTATGAGATTGAGAAATTGATCTGGGAGATGTTGGAGGCAGGGATCATTAGGTCGAGCGTGAGTCCTTTCCTTTTTCTAGCCTAATTCTATTGGTCAAGAAGAAAGATGGAAGTTGGAAATTTTTTGTGGACTACCGGGCCTTGAATAAGGAGATTGTGCCAGACAAATTTCATATTACAGTGATAGACGAGTTGCTAAATGAGTTATGTGACGAGGCAATATTCATGAAGGTGGACCTGAAGTCCGGGTACCATAAGATCCGGATGAGAGAGGAGGATGTTCCGCAGACAGTTTTCAGGATACACGAGGGACACTATGAGTTCTTGGTGATGATGTTTGGTCTCACCAACGCCCCTGCTACCTTTCAGTCCCTTATGAACAAGGTGTTCCAATCTTATCTCAGGAAGTTTGTTTCATAGTTGATTTCTTGTAGTGTGGCACCGTGGTTTTTTTCTTGATTTTTGATTTTTTCATTTTAAAGCTTGTTGTTCTCTTCAGTTGTTTTCTTTTTCTTATTTGCGTTGTTACGTGGTTTTATTCCTAATAGTAGCCAGCTAAGGTCAAAAGATCAAATCTACGAATCTTGGGATCACCGAGCCTTAGCTAAAAGTGAGGTCAAAGGGTCCTAGAGGTACATTGCAAAGTGGGTCTATTCACATGACGATATGTGTTGACCTGTGTGGTGACACCTGCCAACCCACATATTGTCATATTGCATATATTTTGATTGATTAAAGCTAGAGTTTAGCTCAAGTAATACAAAAATGAAAATAAGTAAGCCTGACTAATATTTAAAATATGTATTATGTTGAGCTTGGCTTGAGTGCAATAAGAAATAATTAGCTAACAAGTTAGTACTCTGTTTAGCTTAGTTCATCTACAACCCTATGTCCGGTAAAATGTTAGCTTGGGAAGGAAAGATAAGGTGGTGGGCAAAGGGAGGGA